GCCTTAAAAAGATGCAACTCGTTATTGCAACTGTAAGAAAGGAGGGAAGAGTAATTTGAAGATAATAGGAAGGTCACGACGAACGACCGCGTGATCTTCGCCTTAAAAAGATGCAACTCGTTATTGCAACTGTAAGGAAGGAGGGAAGAGTAATTTGAAGATAATAGGAAGGGTTTTCAAGGCGGAATTTCGATCACGAAGTAATCGTAGTCGTAGTATTGTAGTCTGGGTTAAAGGAGGATTTTTGTGCTCGATGGAATCGCAGCGTTCGCCATGGAAACACACGCGTCGAAACTCGAAAGTGGCCATGGGATAAGAGTGGCTTGTACGAGGTACTGAAGAGTCCGCCAGTTATAGGAGGCGAACAAACAGGGCCGCCTTTCAATCGTAATTGGAACCGCGGGAGCCTGACCAACGTCCGTGTTCAAGCACTCTTTTTCCCGTAACCATCATTCTTCGAGAGTGTCTCCTGTTCTGCGCGAAAGACCAAGCACAATAGGCTGTATATACTCTGGACGGCCCACGGAATACTCACGAATTTTCGGCGTATCCTCCGTGCAAACTTTCCGTTTGTTTCTATTTAGTGGACCGATATGAAATCTAAGGAAACGTTGATTTTTATAAGATTAAACAATCGAGGAAAGAACTATGAGAAAAGAAGCATTCGCGTTTAATGTATAGGGAAACTCGGGTAAATCGACGGGATTCTAATTTTCCTTTTTTTGTCTCGGAAAACAATACGCCTGGGATGTCTTGAAAACGCATTGAGAGTTGTTAGGAGAAGACGCATAGAAACGATAAGGAGTAACTGAAAGGAATTGTATAAATGAATGCCGGTACGTTCGAGGAGAAACGAGAACGTATACACCGGGCCCTTTTGCTCTGTTTAACTCATGGACTCGTAGAAATGGACTGAACAGATACACCCCCGCGTCTTTCATCATCTTGCCTTTTATTCACATACACCTTTCTCCAAGAGGAAAATACCGCGCGAAACACTCTTTATACCATCGCGTACACTCTTCGAGCAGCTTACGGAATCGGTCGTTCTTTTAGCTGAAAAAATGTTACCCGTCCACCAGAAAGAAATTCGAGAAAGACTCGATATTCGAATACGGATGTACAGGAAGATTGTTCGTCGCTGTAAACGCAGCCGTCTCTTTCGATCGCACCTTTTTTTTCTCTCAATGGAAAACGAGCCGGCTTTCCCCTCTTCGTTTTTCGCGAATACGGCACTGGACGATGCTGCTCCGCGCGCAGAATATTCAGATCGACAGTTATATTCACATGCATGGTCGCACCTCAATGGATTTTGCTTTTGCCACGATTGTTAACGATTTCGAAGCCCTCGCGGCATCGCGGTTTTGATCCTCCACCCACCCCTCCCGCCACTCTCTCCCGCGATCGCGACTCTCACTGTTCTAAATCGCTCCACCGTGATCCTCTCCACTGCTTTTTTTTTTTCTTCCTCGTATTTACCAATTCGTCTCGAGCCGATCGACCACCGCGCTACGACCCTCCATTATTGATAATAATCATTCAGACTTGGCGTCTTTCTCGAGATCAAACTTCGACAACAGATTTACACTCCCTCCCCCTTCCATATTTCTCCACGAATAATTACGACACACCTTTGTTCTTACCGACACAGCTGGTGAAAGATAGCGGGCGCGGGAATTTTTTTAGCCGGGTGAAAAAAAAAGGTAGAAAGTGTAAAACATTTTAAGAAGAAAGTGAAGTAAAATGTGTGAAAAGTATAATCGTAGCACGTATATATTGGACGTTTAATGTTCGGTAATGCAACATGTTGCTATCTGAAGTGATCGGTCGTATCACTATATCGACACGATTAATTTAAGTAGCTACCGCTAGGTGGTGTGAAGCATTAAGCGAAAGAGCAAGTTTCTCGAAAGTGGTCAAGTCACCGTTCATTTCTATATATACGGGTTCTTTCGATAGGTTAGACGTACTTGCTTCGGCAGTACGTATACTAAAATTGGAACGATACAGAGAAGATTAGCATGGCCCCTGCGCAAGGATGACACGCAAAATCGTGAAGCGTTCCACATTTTTTTGTCAACTTTTTTTTTCTTATTAATAGAAAATGTTCTTACGAATAAATGCAGATGAATCAAAGTGTATTATTTACATAGCAGTTACACGTTATTAGTTTAGATGTGATATCCCGATTGGCAGCGGGAAAGTATAGTTGAACGAGTTTCCGTCACTAATCCACGAACCGTTCCCCCCGCAAGATCGGAAAGAGATATTCACCCCGCGTGGAGATCCCATTTGTCCAAGTTGGCCAGAGGTGGCTGCACTCGGATGAAATTTCGTGTCCCACGGGGGAACAAATATCGCAAATTACCGATAACAATCAGCCGACAAGGGGGGCGATGATTTCGAGGTAATTCGCGTGAAACCCTCTGCCCTAATTTCCATTGATTTACCCACCTCTCTAAGCTAAATCGCGACAGATGCGATCAACGTTGTTAGAGAAAATGATTCCGGTGAGATAAGAGAGTAGAATAATATTTCGACCAACTAGCGAAAATCCAATGTTAAAGGAAAATGGAGAAAGCGAAAGGGCCATTGTTATTGAAATTGGCGCGTGCCGCGTCAAATATCGTCTGGCAAAGGGCCACTGATCACTGTCAAAATTATCACGAGCGTCTTTGTTTTCGCAGCTCGACACCACTCAATTGATCCCCGTCTTCATGCATTTATTCCGGCGTTTGCGCCGTTCCTGAGGCCCTTTTCCAGCGAGCACGAAGAAGACGGCCAGCCGCTTTGCTGCCCCTTGAATTAATCCCCTGCATACGTTAATCCTAATGAATTCAGAAACGCGCCCCGTCGTGGCTTGACTACAGGGGCACATCGGGACGGAGGGTTCCCGCTTTTTACAGGTGCCAGCACGCAAACTCGAGGCCACGAGGCAACCCATTAAAATACCACCCCCGTGTGCACACCCGACCGGCTCCCATCTTCTTTCTCGCGCGTTTTATGCGACGCCACGCGACGTCGTGTTGCCAAAAATTTCACCAACAACCCTCTACGTTTTCTTCCATCTCAGGTCGATACGGCTAAATATTTATTTATTCCGGTGATTGTGCTCGAGAGGAGCGAGATTTTTTTTCCTCATTTTACACACTGGAACAAGAGCGAGGGAATTCGAAAAAGATTTGCGAGCAGATTGCAAGACAATATCGTCGAAGGAAATTTCGTATATTCGTTGGTATTGAAAAGATCCACGAATTACCGCATAGATACCGCGAAGACGCGAATGCATAATAAAAACGAGAGAGAGGGAGTAGAAATCGAAGCGTAATTCAGAGGATTCGTTAATTAAGCAACATGAAGGAAATAGGGGTCTGCCTGGCCGTATAGAGGATCGCGTTCGTGCCGTTCTTTTTTTTCTTTTTTTCACTGGAGAATCGACCGGGGGAATCTAGCGTGGATGATTTTGCGGAAGGTGAAATATTTAGGTATAGAAAAGCAAGGGATGCGAGGGCATAGCAGTCGCACGAATGCCCCCGGAAGATAAGTAGCGACGCGGTGAATAGACTAACGGGGCGCTGCAAAAGCCAGGAACGGGAGAAAAGGGAGCAAAGGGAGGAAAAAGGGGTGGGGTGGGGGTGTATAGAGGCGGTGTCGAGGATTGGTGGTTTCATGCATCATGCATATTTACGCTCACATACCTGCTATATAGCTGGAGAAGATGACGGAGCGGGGTTCAGCAAATTGCGAGGACCGTATTTATGCAAATGCTCCGGCGCATTCG